GCTCCAAACTGGCAACAATCCAAATGTGTAACAATAAATTAATTATACAATTTACAAGCGATTAGAATGAATGGACCTGAATAGGCTATTGAACCTCATACTGAAAGAAGCCAAATACAAGATTATATCCTGTATTTCCTGTGTATTATATAAAGCTTCAGAATAGGCAAAACTCACCAGGAAAGTGGTTACTTTTAGAAGAGAGGAGTAGTGACTAGGAGAGAGCATAGGAAGGCTTTTGCTGAACTAGGGATATTCAGTTTTTTGATCTGGGTGGTAGTTACACAGTGTAATTACCTTGTGAAAAGTAATTTAGGGGTACATTTGTGATTTTTACATTTTTTTGTAAGTATGTCATACTTCAATAAAAACTTAAAAGGTTTTAAAAAGCAAATTATTTTTTTCTAAATATGAAAGTAGTTAATCCTTAAAAACTGGGCACTTACTATCATCAGTGCTGGGGATAGAGGAAGGTACTACTCTATTTTGTATATTTGGATTCTGTTCTCTAACAGAAGAGCAGTTTTACTGCATTTTTTTTTTCTTATTACTCCCATTTACTCACTACTTATAATAACATTTTATGAAAACTTTATCATGTATTTATCCATCTATCTGCCCTTAATCCATCCATTTTAATCCATCTAATTTTTTGGTGTATTTCAGAGTAAACCGGACAACAGTATGCTTTTCATTAACAATATGCTTTTCATAGGTATACATATCATAAAAGTGCATTGTTTTTTACAGCTTTTTTTCTAAATGTAAAAATTACATACATGATATGCAAATCTTAAGTGTTCATCTGCTGAGTTTTGATTTAGTAATGTTCCTTTGTGTAGAGCTGCCCTGGGAGGTGTTTTACCTTCTTGGCTGACAGAATTACAAAAACTTAACTTTTTTTTTGTTGTCATTATTTCCAGAGAGGAGTGATCAGTTCTTGGCTACATTTGTAACAGTATGTCCTGATTTTCTGGGGCAGTTCCAGTTTTAGATATTTGACCCATTATTCTCCAAAGCCATTGAAATGCAAAACACTAGTATTTGAAAATTCAGCGAGTGAATTAAATGAATAAATGCTATTACATAGAAATGCATGTCACAAACTGAGGAATCAGAGTAAGGGAACCTTAAGCTTCCGAAAGCAAAAGTCCACCAGCCTGTGTAGTAGAATTTTTTAGTTATGTGTAGTTTGGTACTTTTCTAATAAAAAGCATGTGATGCCAAAAGTAACATAATATTGATACAGCAAAGCAGAATGTGTGTTATGTATGTAGTGCTTACTGTGTGCCAAGTGCTGTCCCAGGTGCTGGGAATAGAGCAGTGAATTAAGACCAAGGTTTCTGTGCCCATGAAGCTTGCATTCATACTAAGATGATTGTTTTAGGGAGTAATGGCATTAACTATTGACATGTACTATCATACTCAGTTAATTTGCTGGTAGATTAGTGTGCTTTAGTTGTTTTTGACTTTTTATAAGGACAAAAAAAAGATATAAGAGACAAAATAGCAAAATGAACTCATGGACAGATCATCCAAATGGCAATTATTAACTCATGGTCCATCTTGTTTTGTCTATGCCTCCACTAGTTTCTTGTCTCCCAGGTTATTTTGAAGTAAATTCAAGATGCACTATTTCAAATGCAAATAAATATTTCAAAATATGTCTCTAAATGATAAAGATGCTTAGGAGGAGGCACTTATGTTAAAATTTTTCCTTTAAAATGCTTTTGCGTTAGAATTTGTGCCAAGTATGTCTTAATGACATTGAATAAGTGTATGGGTTAGTTATGTTAGTAATGAGACTAAACATTAGTGTGGAAAATTTGACATTTATATATCGAATGGAACAAAACTTGGTGCTTTTAATGAAATGAAAGTATTTTCTCATAAGAGGTAGTTCTACTAAATTGGAATTTATATCAAATTAAGAAATAATTGCTTATTTTGTGACAAAATGTGAACACCATTTCAGATTTAAAAATTACAAAACTAATTTGATACGTATCTTAACCTGATCAGATTTCCATTAGCACAAGTGAACTGTGAACAGTCTTTATTTCAGAAACGCAGAGAGCCTAATGGTAGGAATTGTTTCACCCCTGAGTTAGTGACCTATATGTGAAAGTGTAAATTTCATTGACTATAATTCTCAACAAAAGTATTTAAATTTACATGCGACTTCTTGCTTTCTATGTTCTGCCAGGATAGAGCAATGATTAACTAAAATAGGCTTAAATATATTTTTTAATGAGTTCTATATACTTTTTTACTTTGGTCTGACTGTTCATAACATTAATACTAATTTTAATTTTGCTAATCTGATAGATTTTATGCATTTTTTTAAGAAATTCTAGTAACAGCCATGGAAAATTGATACGTAGTATAAATATGAAACAGTTGTATTAAGTTGATATAGTCTGATCGTAATGAGATACTGTACATATTTTTTTCATAAGGAACAGAAGCAATGAAAATTTATTTCATTGAGGGAATTCAGATTTTATGTCCAAATTCAAGATTTGATATATCTGCATTTTAAATAATAGAAAAGTTTTGATTCTGTTGAGTTTATTTTTAAATTAATTGAAAATGACCTTGTTACCTGCAATCTTTAAAGATATTCTTTAGAAGTCTTAGTTTTTATTTCTGATTTGTACATAATGGTGCCATTGTTTCCCAAGATATTTCTAAAATGAAGACTCCAACCATATCTGTACCTGAAGCCCTGTATACTTCTGTTAGCTTATACAAAGAAAAATTACATGTTTATAGTTCAATATATATTTGTACAAGAATTTCAAACACTGATGGTGTTTCTAATCAGGTCTGGCATTGCTGGTAATATAAAATACTGTTTGAACTTTCTTTGTAGAAAAAATTTTTTTTTGAAAAAAATTGTAATCTTTGCCTCCCATCATGGATTTTATTGGAAATAAAATCCTTGAATGGTATACTTGGATCAGATAGGAACTTTCTGATAATATAGTCTTGCTTTGTCATAAACTCCTATTCTCTTCATTTCCTTAAATCTTTTCGTATAACTAGGGAGTTTTCTTTAAGAATAGACCCCTATAAAGGTGAGATAGTATAATATATTTAAACACTCTAAAAACATGTCAGTTTGATCTTCATTGCTAGATACAGAGTTGCCATTAGGAGTGTTTTCTGTTGCTGATTAACAACTTTGGGATGTTTTCATGTATTATTATTTGGAAAAAACACTGTTGAATCTGTGACTAAATGTGATTTGGGTATTTGAAAGTTTTGCCATACGCGTTTCATAATCCTCAAATTTTTAACAAAGGCAAGAGTTGTTTTGTAAAGTAATAAGCTCTCTATTCATAAAAATGTTTAGACATGCATACTTACCCCACTATCCCTCCAAATAAATATATACAAACAAACAAGGATATTATAGAATGGAATTTTATGGCTTCTTGGAATTGGAGAAATCAGTGATTCTAATTTTATGAATAACGAATTTTGATTTAGAAAATAATTATAAGGTTGCTTATTTTTGGCTTAATGTTGAAAATTTTTAGAAGCTCAATGTTTGCTTAGATTTAATTGAAATCTCTATTGAAGGACAGTTTTTACAAGACACAGCCAGTGGGTTCATTTATATTTTATGTAAACATATAAAATATGTGTACAATTTAATGTCTCACATACTAAAGAAGGAAACCACCTTGTATCTCCAGCTGAATAAATTAGGTAGATCCTTTTAGCTCTCAGACATAGCTATTGGTTTTATTTTTTCTCGACACATTAACAAATTTCCTATCCATTGGGAAATTTGAATAGGACACAGTAACTTAATAATTGGATAGTTTTAGTTATTAATGCTAAGAAGTAATTTAAGGAAATAGACACTTGGTGGAATTGTGTTGTACCTAGATATGAAAAAGGTAATCAAAATCGCGAACATTTTTGAGCACTTAGTGTGCCCTATACATTGTACTAAATGCTTTACAGTGTGTTTTTCATTTAGTCTTCACAACAACTCCTTGAGGTAGGTATTAGTATTAATCTATTGGACAGATAATGAAACTGAGACCTAAAGATGGTGTAATAATGCCCTGAATGTTGGGCTTTATTTTTTTAATTTGTCAGATCAGTTAACTTAAATTGATTATGTCTTATACTTTGATAGCTTTCTAATTTCATTCACATATACTTTATCTGATGTTGGTAGAAAGACATACCATTAATGCTCAAGCCCAGATTATTTACAAATAATGTATTCTGTGGCTCTTTAGTTCTTACTGTTTATAACCGTCTTTTCACTTATTTCACAGAAGCTACTAACCTAAAAGTTGTTCTTCTCCATCCATCTCCCTCCATCCAATCTCTCAACCCCTGCAAAAAACCATTTAATTTCTAAAACTTTAAAACATTAACAACATACTACTTTGAAAATTAGTTCAAATTTTATATAAGGTTTTATTTTGCTTCCAGACCTGTGAAGTCAAAGGCTTTCTTCTCTCCAGGGCTTCTGGAGAAATAGCAGAATGTTTCCTCTTGATGATTCTAGCTCAATATTACCTCCCTGTTTGCTGCTGTTTGTGTGTGAAGATTTTGTATTTCTTCTAAACAGTATTCTTCGAACACAGTAGACTAAAGATGGGTGCTATCTTAAATGGTTTTGTTTCTAAACTCCTTAGGCAATTAGGATTAGAGCTACTGTAACATTCTTTCCATAGTTTACTTTTTATTGAAACAGTAACATTGTATTTTTTCTTTTATTTATGATTCCTTTGTAGTATTGCTGCTTGTTTTAAACACCTGGCTTTCTTCATTGAACAATTTTGTTTCCTTTAATCCATGTGAAAACCTTACTGTTAGTTATATTCATGTTATTTCATTAATGCATTTTTGTTTGTTTATACATTTACTCTATTTGATTAAGGATAAGAACTCCTGTACTTTTTAAAAACCTTTCCAAAACCAAATAGAGAAATTAGTGATTTTTATATATTTCTTTTTGTCTGTTTTAGGATGGCTACCATAGAGTAGTTAATATTGTGCCAAAGAAACCACCACTGCTAGACAGACCTGGTGAAGGAAACTACAATAGATATTACAGTCATGTTGATTACCGAGAATATGACGAGGGCCGCAGTTTTTCTCATGATCGAAGAAGTGGTCCACCTCACAGAGGAGTATGTAAATTTCCCCCGTGTACTAATTGTTATTTATTATAAGTTAAAAATCATGTAATTTTTGAAATTTATGTGACTGGCCATGAAGGTAGTTGAATAAACACTTCCTGCTTGATGCTCTGTTGAATTGCCTGCTAGAGCTGTCAAATGGGAACTGGTAGTGGAAAATCTTGGGACAAAGTGGGTAAGCCACTCTGGGTAGCTCTATCTAAATGACACTAATTCCAACTAGCCTGTGTTTTTAACCCCTATATTGGCAAGGATTTGCAGAAGCAGATAAAGGTAATCTTTATTGCTTTGGTTCTCAGTAAGTGATGAACAGGTAGTTGCCATCTCTTATTGGATGTACCCACTTATAATTACTTTGATTATTTTCGTCATGATGAAATGCTGTGGGCGAGGTCGGTTTACAGTTGAACCTCAGTCTCATTTTTGTTATACTTATGAAAGTCTACCTAGTAACTCAAATTAGCTCTCAAAATACTGTCCTATATAATTAGCACATTTTAAATGTTAGCTTCTATTATTACCATTATTGTTGCTATTGTATTTTGTTTCTCTTAATCATCTTTAATAATCTAGAAGTATGTATTTAATGTTGCAATAATCTATCACTGAACTTGATTGCAACTATTCCTTGATGCCATTCCTTGGACTTAGCTTGTGTGTTTACATCACTCCTCTGCTAGACTGTTTTCCTATATTTTCTCTTTTCTCCCTCCCCTACTATATAATATTATAATTAATAGTAGATATTCAAACATTGTTTATATTAAAATTTGACCTCACATTGGCTGTTGGAATTACTTTCCATACTTTACCCTCAAAGAAACAGAGGTAAGGTGATTTACCCAAAGTTGGGTATGTATGGAAGTCCAGTTCTCTTACTACTGCATCATGGTGACCTTTGACAATTCTAAAGTAGTAATGAGACTATTCAGGATTTTCTTGTCATTTTGAAGTGTGGGATGCATAGTTTCCTTCTTCTAGAAATGATTTTTGTTTTGTTAAATTTTTAAATGTCATGCTGTTCCTTTAAAGAAGAGGGATTTAGTGTTGAAAAGTTAACATTATATATTATCTCTAACCTAGAAATACTAGATTTTGCCTTTGGAGCCATTATTCCAGGTAGTCTGATGAAGAAAAAATTTGGCCTTTGCGTAAAGTTGTTTTCCCTCTTAGAAAAATCAAATATGGCCTTTTAAAATAGGTAGGGAATTTTAGATTCATTAGACCAATTTGTATTTGAATCCCTATGAATATGATTTCTTTCCCTAAAACCTTGTAGCATAACAGTGCCTCAGCAATAGTTTTTTGTTACAAATTATGTTTATTCATACTTTATAGAACGTTTTCTCTTTATATGCTCCTCAAACAAAAATAAGTCCATTTGAGATCCTTAAGGCTCTTGTGATGTGAATTTATCTTGAGTTCAGTTATATAAAATAAACTACTTATTTAATCTCATATCTTATAGCTGTTGAGTTTTTTCTTTTGTTTATATTTACTGTTGAGAAGGAAAATGATGAATGCATTACTCTTATATGAGAGAGGATATGCTAAAGAGGAAGATGAAGGTAGCATTTATTTTATCTGAATTAATATTTCTGATTGTAAATAATTCACGTTATATTGTTATATACGTAATTTTCAAGTAATTGGGCATGAGTTACTATGTTTTTTTGAATGTAGCTTTTCAAATATATCTGTTTTAGAGGACAAAATATACTTTTTTGATTAATTTTAAACTTAGCACCACATCTTGCTCTAACATAGCTTATCAGTAGGTGATAGCTTATTGTATTATTTTTAATTATAGATTTTAATGAAAATCAAGATGAGAAAAGGAAACTTGAACAAGAAAAATGGGAAAGTAAATTCTTCATTGGGCTTGAATTTGAAAATTGGTGAGGGAACTTAACAGAAGGAAAATAAAATGAAAGGTCAAGAAATGTGTGCTTGATTAAATTGAACCTTTGTTCTTGTAATGGTCCTTAGCTGTTGTGATGTTGGCATATGTTTTTGGCAATAAGACTGTTAAGGGCCTACCAAAGAAATGCCTTAAGCATTTCATAAAGCTCCATCTACTAAATTACTTGTTGAAATGGATGACTTGCTCTATCTTTTTTTCCTTTTTTATGCTTATGAAGCTCAGAGTAATTCAGAAAGGTGTTTAGGTCCTCATATTATTTTGATCTTAGAGACTAGTTTTCAGTAGTATTGTTAGATATATCCTACTTGGCCAAAATAATGTAAGCAAATATCTAAATAGCTTTTTTTTATTTTGCAGGATGAATCTGGCTATAGGTGGACAAGAGATGATCATTCTGCAAGCCGACAGCCTGAGTACAGGTAAAAAGATGAACTTAGTATCATAACTACTTTGATACTTGATTCACTAAGATGTCTGGTATTGAAATCTAATCTCAAGGCTCATAGATGAAATATTTTTTATTAGGATTTATAATTTTGAGAGCAACAGTTTTGAGACTGTAATGTAATAGTACTAATAGAATTCTGTATCTATGGGTGTTTTGAAAACTGATAATGAAAAATAATGTTTGAATTATTGATATATTCTCATCAAATAAATTATTAAGTTATTCCTAATGTGTAATATGGATTATAAGGGTTCTGTTTAATTAGAAGATTAAGGCTTTTTTTGTCCCTCCAGAAGATTTGAGTCATTACAGAGTGTCTTTTATTAACACATTTTAGAATAACTTCAGTCATTGTTAGCCTTAGTTACTTACAGAGGCATCTGATAGAATAGTTAGGAAAAAAAGAGATGGATAGATATAATCAAGTTGTATTTTTACTTTTTTAGATTATTTGAGAGAAATGAGCAGAGGGGAGAGGCAGAAGGAGGAGGAGAAGCAGACTTCATGTTGAGCAGGGAGCTCAACGTGGGCTTGATCCCATCATGACCTGAGCTACCCAGTCACCTCTAAAGTTTGTATGATTTGTTTGTTTGTTTTTAATGACTTCACTACAAAGGAAGTAGTAGAAGTTATAAAAGGAGCTTTTTAAAGATGAGGACACCTGGGTGGCTCGGTCAGTTAAGCACTCAACGCTTTATTTTGGCTCAGGTCATGATCTCAATATCAATCTCAGGGTCATGAGATTGAGCCATGTGGAGATCAGCCTCCATGCTCAGCAGGGAGTCTGCTTGGGATTCATTTTCTCTCGTCCTCCCTCTTCTCTGGCCCTTCTCCCCTCAAAAAAATAAATCTTAAAAAAAATATATCTCTTATGAACTGTTAGAGAATAACCTATAGACAAGGGAAAGTAGTCAAATGCTACAACTCTCTAGGTGCCAGAAGTAGACAGTAGGATTCAGTGGATCAGAGCAAGGCAGTTTGTTACTCATAGCACCTCAGTCATCAGGGGCATCGATGTCCCTTATGTGATGGGCAGAGATGGTGGCTCTGCATACAGTGACATGCATTGCAGCTGAGGAACACAGGGTCAAGAGCTTGCTACTTTTTTGTAGGAAGCAGGAAGCAAGCAAGCCAGTATTTCACTCACTCAGAGTGAGCAGTCACATGTTATGCTGTGGTCACCTTGACCTATTTAATTGTCTGTATGACCAGCTACAGAAACTGTTCAGTGTCAGTGGATGGTAAGGTCTTGCAATTTAGAGTACACAGCAGGGATGTGCAGGGATGGACTCATGGTGGACTGCCTTTCCCAATAGAAGTAATAGAGAAAATAGATTCTGAAAAATACTTTAATTAAATTCAATTACTGTTAAACATAACACAGTAAGTTTTAGCCAGCTAGGAATGGAAGAGAATTTCCTTTATCTTATAAATGTGATTTGCTATACTGAATGGTAGAGTTAGAAGCATTAGCTTTAAAACCAGGATGGAGCAAAGATGCCACTTGTTATTGCTTCTATTCATCATGGTAAGGTCTCAGCCTCCACAGTAAGATAAGAAACATACAGTTGTAAGGGTTAGAGTGAAGGAAAACTATTTACAGATGTTAAATTATCTATGTAGAAGATCCAAGAGAGTCTATAGACTATCAGAACTGTAAGGAAATTAGCAAAGTTCAGTATAATCAACTGATAGCGTAAGTTAGAAAATGTAATTTAAAAATATTTTCTATAAAATAAAAACTGTAAGGAGTAATGAGAATATAACAAAACTGTGTGAAATCTATGTAGATGAAATTGCAAGTCATTTCTAAGGGACATTTAAAAAGACGTGAGTAAAAGGATATATGTGACATCCTTGACTGAGAAGAGACAGTATCATGAAGATATCAGTTCTCAAATTCAGGTGTTCATTCAGTTTGGTTCCAGTGTAAATTTTGGATTTTTCCCCATGGAAGTTGGTAAGCTGTTTCTAAAGTTACTATGAAGGAATAAAGGACCAAATGGCAAAAATAGCCTTGAAAAAGATGTGAAGACTCAATATACTATCAAAATTTATCAAGCTCTAGTAATGTAAACAGTCAAACAAGACAGAGAGTTTAGAAAGAAACCTAGATATATCCAGGAGTTGGGGATATAGCAACAGCGGCACTACAAATCAAATGGGGAAAAGAATGAACTTTTCAGTAACTAGTGTTGGGACAAATGGCCATCCATTAGGGGGAAAAAAAAATGAAATTGGAAGCCTAGCATATCAAAATGTCTGGTATAACAAAGACTAAATGTGTAAAGCAAAAGTGTAAGAAAAACTGTTGATTAGATTAGCTGATGGTTTGTATTTATTCCAAAGAAACAGTTCTCAAGTTGATTTAGTTGATTTTAGTTTTTAAAATAATAGTTTGTTTCTATCTTTATTCTCTCTTCCTTTTTTAGCACTTTATTATTTTCTTTATGTGTGTATATAATTTTACATAAATAAAATCATATGTGGGGCTCCTTGTTTCCTATAGTCATGTTGACACTGTGTGTTCTATATTTTTCTCTATATTCATAAACATTTCAAGTATTGTTAATGAGATCATATTCGTACTTTTCTGTACAAAGCATTGTCTAATAAATCTGAGTATATAATGTCACTATGAAACAGTACTTCAGTTTTTATGGCATGGATTGCCAAAAGTGGAATTTCTGGGTCACAGGATGTACATATTTTACATTTTAATAGATATTTTCAGGTTGTCTTCTAAAAGTCTGTAACACTTATGTTTGATTTTTTTTTTTTTTTATGATAGTCACAGAGAGAGAGAGAGAGAGAGAGGCAGAGACACAGGCAGAGGGAGAAGCAGGCTCCATGCACCGGGAGCCTGATGTGGGATTCGATCCTGGGTCTCCAGGATCGCGCCCTGGGCCAAAGGCAGGCGCCAAACCGCTGCGCCACCCAGGGATCCCTTATGTTTGAATTTTTGAAAAAAAATCTAACATTTTATTTTGGATATTTTTCTTTCCATCTTATTTATGAGTATAAGTAGAGTTTCGAAATTTCTTTTAAGAATTGCTATAACTGTATCCCATAGATTCTTATTTTTTAAATTTTTTTTAAGTAGACTTAACACTAAGTGTGGAACCCACCGTGGGGATTGAACTTACGACCCTGAGATCAAGACCTGAGCTGAGATCAAGAGTCAGACCAACTGAATCACCCAGGCGCCCCTGACAGATGGCAATTTTATACTGATTCAAACATAGTATATTCTAGTTACTCTGTAATCAGTGTTGCCTATACTTGTACTCTGTTGTTTGAAATTTTTTGGTATAGTGTTCATTATATATGGTATATTCATTTGATAAATATTTATTGGGTGGCTGGTATATGTCAGATATTCTTCTACCCTCTGGGGATAAAAAGATTGTGTTCTCATTAGCCTACTTTTTAGTATGAATTATAGATAGTAAACATATAAAACAACATTTTTATGAAGGCAAATGAAATGTTAGTGGCATAGAAAGGGCTTCTTTCACATATTCTGTAGCTTTACCTGATGTCTGGGTGTCCTCAGTGACGCTTCAAATATCAGGCTATCACAGGAGCTATTACTTTTACAGGCTAGCATCTTTCTGGCTGTCTGTAGGTTGTTCCCTATTAGGTGATATCATCGAAGACTTTGTGAATGGCTGTTTTAGGGAGAAAAAAGATCACTGCATTGTAAACGATGCAGAGAGTAGTTGTGTATATTGGTTAAGAGAATTAACGTTCTGAGTATTTAGGAAAACCATGCTAACTAGTGTTTTTGTTTTTGTTGGGTTGTACACAATAATTATTTGTGGAAAGAAAATGTTAGACTATTTAAAATATTCTATTTGATACAGTGTTTTAAATTTATAGAAAAGTTGTGAGAATAAATCAGAAACTGCTAAATTTTCACCAGAAATCAACCCCAGTAATGTCTCCCACAATGCCCCAGTAATGTGTTTTATAGCAAAAGATCTAAAGGTCATATTTTTGTAGACTTCTTTAATCCGGAACAGTTCTTCAGTCTTTTCCTTGATTTTGTTTTTGTTTTTGTGGCTCACTGTTTTGGGCAAGATGAACACAGAGCAGACATTTTGTAGACTGTTTCTCAAATTTAGGTTTGTCTAATGTTTATGGTTAGATTTCAGTTATACATTTTTGCCAGGACAGTCCCTGAAGTGATGCTATTTTCTTTTTATTGCATCCCATTAGATTACACATGTTGTTGATTTGTTCCCTTATCGATGGTGTTGACTTTTATCAGTTGATTAAGATGGAATCTGCAAAATTTCTTCACTATGAAGTTAGCTTCCTTCCCTGTCATTAGTGTGTGTGTGTGTGTGTGTGTGTGTGTGTGTGTTTAAGATTTTATTTATTCATTCATGAGTGACACAAAGAGGCAGAGACATAGGTAGAGGGAGAAGCAAGCTCCTCACAGGGAGCCTGATGCGGGACTTGATTCCCGGACTTGGCATCACGCCCTGAACCGAAGATAGACCACTTAACTACCCAGGCATCCCAACATTAGTGTTTTTTTGGGGAAATACTTTGGAACTATGCGAATATGCCATTCTTCATCTCATTTTCAACCACTAGTCTAGCATTCATTGGTGTTTCTTGCCTGAATTATCAATATAATTGTTTGTAATGGTAATTTTGTAATTAGACTGATCTTTTTGTTACCTGTTATCAGTTTGTGAGGAAGTGCTTTCTCTTCTCTCCACCACCCACTTTAAGAAAAAACACAGAACTTTGTTTTATATCCGCATAGACTCGTGGATTCCTATCTTATTCAGTATGTTATAATCTGTTACTAACATCATTACGATGTTCAAATTTGGTCCGTGAGAATCCCTTCAAGGTAGCTCCTGTGTTTTTTCAAAAAATATGTTGTTTTAGGGGCATATGTTTAACGTAAAATATGCCATTTTAACCATTTTTAGTACACAGTTCACTGGCATT